GGATGTGTACACCTTCAGCCACAGGGAGCACCGCGGAGAATGGGAGGACGCGGACTCAGACACGTCCTGCTAGCTAGGACTGGCCCAGTGGGCGCATACCAGGGTGCCACCTAAGATTACCTGTTTGGTTTTGTTTTTTTTTCTTTTTTTCTCTTTTCTTTTTTCTATGTCAGAGGACATTGTACATGGGAGAAGAGAGAAAAAAGGGGATGGAGAATGAAAATGAGAAAGCACCCCCCCCCCTGTGGCCTGCTCACACCAGTCCATCCTGGGCATATGCTCATACTCAACTTATAAGCCACCGGGACTAAGATTCGAACCCTGGTCAGCCACGTGGGATCCGTCTTCCTCTGCATGGCTCTTAACCACTGCCCTGCAGGGCCAGCCCACAGTACCCTTTTTAATGTGTGCCGTGCCTTGAAAGCACATCAGGGGCACTGGCCTGGAGGCCACTGAGGCAGCGCGTCATCCCGGTAGCTTCTGAACGAGAATACGAGTCTGTTTCTTCTTCTGAGAGCACCACCCCCTCGTCATTACTGACAACCCACAAGCCAGCATAGCAGTGTGCTGTCGTGGTCACTTCGAACTGTACAGATCACCTCAGTGCCCCCCAGAATCGTGTTCCGTGTTGCCACTGTTCTGTTAGGACCACCAAATACCTTAGCGGTTAGGAAGTCAATCAGTTATACTGAGCTGAGGACTGACGGGCTAGCTGACACCAAGCGCAGTTCTTACGCTGCAAGGGAGAGAGACTTCTGACCTCTGAACGTTACTAGTTGTTGTGCTATTTGAACCCATTTGGTTGTATTCAATCTCATTTAATACCTGAATGATATTCAGAACAAGGATCGTTGGAATATTCGTTTAGATGCTCTGTAGTTTTCAATGGTACATCCATTACTCGTCTGCTTTATTTAGACCTGTTTCTAAAGTTTCTGTAAGTATTTTTGCAAAAATCACAGGACGCTATATTACAAAGTGTTATTTATTGAATGTAACTCATGGGATAATCTATTTTTATTCCTCTCGAGAAACGCTCAGAAACGCTCATGCATTTCGATAAACCTCCATTAAGTGCTTTTGACCTGCGAGGAAATATTGCTGTTTTTATAGAATCGACTGTTAACAGATAACAGCATTTCCGGACACTTCACAGGTAGTCTTTGCATTTTTACTGAAAGGTAGACCTGGCACATTCTCCGGGAAGCAGAGCAAGAACAAACCGTCTGTCTTACCTGTGACCTGTTTGAATTCTCAGAAAAGCTTCAGCTTTCCTCGTTCTCACCACCAGATGGTATTTTTCTATAAGCCAAAAATGCTCACTCGGCCTCTCCCTGCTGGCTTTTCGTCCCCCGCGTTGAGTCCTCACAGACACACAGCAGCCTTGGGAGAGGGGGACGACAGAGACAGGACCCCGAGAGGGGCCAAAACACATGCACAAGTGACAGCGGCGTTGTAGAGGCAGGCTGCAATGGCAAGGGGACACATGGAATAAATGTAAGACATGTCAAGGACCGTCCGTGGGCAGGTAAGAGCGATGCTGAGGACGGGAGCCAGGACTGCCACCGAGGCGCGGTAGTTTCAAACGCGCCGATCTGTGTTCTCGCACTGTGGGAAGGAAACCTGTGTGGCAGTTTTGCTGACGAACAGTGACGCTCCACCTACTTTGGAGTGAGTGCTTTTTAAGGATAAGATTGTTATGGTGCTGAACTTGAGGAAGAGCCCCTTGAAATGCTAGTAACGTCGGTGATCTGTTCGAAAGTGATGAGGGGCAGAAATGAGACCGGCTGCCGTGTAAAAATCAAGCCACGAATCTGTCGGACTGCTGTCTTGAGCTTCACTCAGCTCCAGCTGTTCTAACTTATTAACGACCTCTGTTGACAATAAAAATTCTGTAAATCCTTTGCTGTTCATTTTTTGTTGTCTCTGTCCATGGACGGGTTTCTGCTTACACGTGCAGACACGAACTCAGATACGGCTGGACCGTGGGCTGCTCTCGGTGTTCACGCAGTCTCTCTGGAGTCCCGGGACTGAGACAGCTGCGCGTTCTCAGGTGGGATAGCCCTGCCCCTGTGCACAGCAGAAGGCCTCGCCCAGTGTCCCCAGGAACCGTGTGCACTGCCACCTGGGCAGGATGCTAGAGCCCAGGGATGAAAGGGTAAAGGCTTGTCAGAGGCAGGCTCTGTGGCAGGGGGGCGGAGCCTGGAGGCCCAGGTCTCAAATCCCCACCTGGCTGGATCCAGTTAGAGACCCGCTGGAAAACCACCCGGATCTCCAGGTACGCCTTAGAAGCCGTGCTGCTGTTGTGATTTTTCCCGTGTCTCCACACCGCAAATGGTCTCTGTAGACTTTTCTCCTTCTTGCCGGCTCCTCTTTCTTTCAGGTACGAGCAAAACTGCCTTTCCTCTCGCCTCTGCTCTGCACTGCGCTGTCCTCGCTGACACACGCTCATGTTTCTAACTACTTCCTCATTCCTGCATTCCCTTCGAAGTCCATTCCATTTACATGTGAGCTCAGGTTCCAGTGCCCCAGGAACCCAAGTTCTGGCGTTCTCAGTGGTCCCTTCCCTAGCGCATACGCATGTGTGTAGTGTGAAGAACTTTCCTCTAAAAATCGATACTTTGCACTGTCAGACATAAGCTCATTCTTGTTTAGCTGTTTCCGGTTCATATCCATTCGTGACATGTAGAAATCTCTTCGGCCTAAAAAGAACCAGGGCCGTCAAAGTCTAGTTTGTGTCACCCTAAGACAAAGTATTTTTCAACCACATCTTTCTCTTCAGTGCTGCAAAAGGATGTGCTGTTCACCGTGGTGTCTTTATGGCCGATACCGTCACGTTCGCGCCGTGTGAAGGTAGAAGCAAATATCTTTCCGACTAGGCGCATGCATTCCGTTTCTGGTATTGCCGAAGAGGCGCGCTGTAAAAAGACATCAGTCCCTTCGCGCTGGAGGGCACCTCTGCAGCTCACGGCCGTGACTCCCTGGTTTAGGTGCCCTTCAGCGTAAGGGCGAACTGACCTTGCGTGAAACCCAAGTTTAACCTCTGCATTCTGTTCACTCCGTGCATTCACTTGTACATACAGAGCCGAGCCCCGTGACAACGGCAGGCTTTTTATTAAAAACAAAAAATATGGGGTTCTGTGCGTGTGTGCGTGTACACTTCATAGCTTTTCTTTTGGGGAATTCAGAAGAGACAACACGAACTCAATCCAGGTCAACGTTCTCTCAAATGGACTGTTACTAACCGAGTCATCATTCAGTATGTTAATGGGTCGTCGGAAAAGTCATGACACATTTTTGGATGGAAAAATGTGACTTTTCTGATGACCCAATATTTACTGAAAGATTTCTGAAAACAAAAACTAGAGGCCAAAGCAGATAAAAAGGGGGCTCGGGCCATAGAAGTTGAGATGAGTCTGGCAGGATATGTAGGATCTGGACTCGGGAGAGGAAAGGGCGCAGAGCTTGGACTGACAGTCCTAAAAGCCCCGTACAGCTCGCGCTGGGCGGATGCGGGTCTGTGCCCGGGCCACACCTGCGGGGGTCCCACCCGTGCCTGTCACGCTGGTTCTGAGGTTAGCCAGATCACAGCTTCGGGCACTGAGCTCACCCTGAGGGATTCGGACCACAGGTGCTAGGGAGCACTTTGAGGACTTTGAATGAGGGGGTGACACTTTCGGGTCACCTAGGATGGATCTAGAAGTCAGGAAGCAGAGGCAGGAAGGGGGGTGAAATCCGTTCCAGTATTTCAGGTGAGCAGGTGAGATCGAGAGTCAGCGCCATTGAAACAGCCATTTGCTGTGACCTTACGTGAGGAATAGGGGGTTTCTTGTATGCACACTTTTTTTTTCTTTTAAGAGAGATTTTTGCTATAAGGCACATGTACTCGCCAGCGAGACAGAGTCAGACAGCAAGAAATCACCCCCCAAGGTGGGATGGCCATAAATCAATCGCTTCTCCTCCATTCTCCTCTCAGGATCTTGGGCACACACGCACATGCACCCGGCGTGAGTTTTAAGCCACTGGGTCTGGGACTTGGACCTTGGTCAAATAGGTGGGAGTCCAGTGACATAAGCAGTACACCATCTGCTGGTCCCGCACACTGGTTTTTTAATGGAATTTAAGGGCCAGCTGGTGGCCTGGTGGTTAAGGTGACTGGATACCACGTGACAAACTGGACAGTTTGCATCCCAAACCCAGGGGCTTGAAAAACATGCCAGGCGCATGTGCGTACATGCCCCAAATCCTGAAAGGCGGGGGCGATGGAGGAGAAGTGACCGCAGTGTGACTGTCCCCCATGGGGAGACTTTCTCATTTTTCCTCTCTACCTCTTTCTCCGGCAAGTGCACATACCCGCTGGCAAAATGTTTTTTAAATGAAATTTAGTTGAAAATAAATGACAGAGGTAATCCATTTTCTTTTTAGATTCTTTTTGTGTATACATTCAGCCATTGCAATTTGTAGATATTGTTTTAAAACTTGTCAAGAATTTTTAGTGAAGATCTTTAATGTTCCATCTTCACAGTTTCCAAGGCAGAGTTTCCATTTTATTTATTCCATAAATAAACCCATTTTATTTATGTTGTATTTATTCTAAGTGACTTCAAAATGGTCTGAAAAGTCACAAAAGCCACAAAGAGGAACCAGCAGTTGGCATAATGGCTATGTTGCTGGACTCCCATATAATCGACTGCAGTTTGAGTCCTGGACCTGGTGCCTTAAACTCACGCTGAGCACGTGTGCATGTGTGCCCAAGATCCCGAGAGGAGAATGGAGGAGAAGGGATTGTGGTGTGGCCATCCCCCCTAGGGGTTGATTTCTTGCTTTCTGTTTCTCTGTCTTTCTGGTGAGTGCCCTGTAGCAAAAACTTCTCCAAAAAAAAAAAAAAAAAAAAAAAAACACAAAAAATAAACCCATTTTATTTATGTTGTATTTATTCTAAGTGACTTCAAAATGGTCTGAAAAGTCACAAAAGCCACAAAGAGGAACCAGCAGTTGGCATAATGGCTATGTTGCTGGACTCCCATATAATCGACTGCAGTTTGAGTCCTGGACCTGGTGCCTTAAACTCACGCTGAGCACGTGTGCATGTGTGCCCAAGATCCCGAGAGGAGAATGGAGGAGAAGGGATTGTGGTGTGGCCATCCCCCCTAGGGGTTGATTTCTTGCTTTCTGTTTCTCTGTCTTTCTGGTGAGTGCCCTGTAGCAAAAACTTCTCCAAAAAAAAAAAAAAAAAAAAAAAAGCCACAGAGACAAAGCTTATAGTTTTTCAGTTGTAAAAAAATAAATCAATAATCTCTTCCGTAAGGTGAACTTTCCACTCCTAGTTATGAGAGGTTCACAGGTTAGTGTAAGTGGGTGTCCGTCACGGCCATAAACCGGCAGCTGGTTACATGTTGCTGATAAGTGGAACAGACTTTGCTCAGCACTGAGGATGAGAGACGAGAGGGAGCAGCCCCTGATCTTGGGAAGTTCCACTCCCTCCAACGCAGACTGCAGAGGAATGACACTGGGAAACCGAACGCAGAGGTGAGGCCTCATGCAAATGCACTTTCTGAAAAAGCAGGGGCGTCCTGTCTTTAGACGTGACATCTGTGTGACTCTGTGCTATTGCTTTGCCATTTCAGTAACTATATTGTGATCCCGCCGTTCCTAAAAAGTCAAATGGTCTCTTACATTGTCCATCAAGGGCAGGCAAAATCATAAACTTTCTGCTTTCTATTTCCTATTCATTTTTACATCTTTTATTTCAAAGAACTTAATTTATTTTCTTTTTTCCAGGCATTATGGAAAACCTCTATTTCAGAGTTATTACCATAGTTATGGGTCTTTATTTTACTGAAACAATGACAAATCCACCAAGAAAAGGCCGCATTTTGTTCAATTCTGAGTGCCAATGGGAGGAACATCTGACAAATTGTTCTCTCACTATGAAATACAACGGACCTTCGGACGTCTCCCGGACAGCAGCCACGCTGGATGTGAGCTGCAGCTCCCTTAGAGTTCTCTTGCAGTCTCACACGGAAAAAGGACGGAAAGTAAAACATCCGGGCCTCGTTAGCAGTCTCCTGTCAGGAATATCCTCCAGCGCGCTCGCGCTTTTACATGCTTCGGACACACTGGACCTCAGCGGCAGCGCCATCCGCTCCCTGGCGCTGCACTGCCCCAGTCCTGGGTCCTCCTGGGTCCAACACCACAGAGGCAGCTTCGGAAATGGGATTCCATTTCTAAAGGCGCTAATTCTTCAAAGCAATAAACTCAGCAACACGCCAGAGGGTGAGTGCCATTTGAAAGGTTAGACTAGTTGGAAAACAATGAATATGTTGAAAGTTAATGTTTTGTTTGTTTGAAGAGAGATTTTTTGCTATAGGGTGTGTGTGCTCCCAGAGAGACAGAGACAGAAAGCAAGAAGTCACCCTCCAGGGGAGAGGGCCATGCTGCAATCCCTCCTCCTCCGTTCTCCTCTCAGGAATTTGGGCACGCATGCACACATGCCCGGCGTGAGTTCCAAGCCACTGGGTCCGGGACTCGAACCATGGTCTACTACATGGGAGTCCAGTGACATAGCCATTATGCCATCGGCTGGTCCTGAGAGTTTATGTTTTATGTCAATAACAGTTTGTTTCCCATCTAAGTAAACGGTGGAAAGTGAAGCTATCTGGCCTGAGCAAATGTAACAGCACAATTTTCTTAGTGGAATTGGAAGCTATAATATGGAGAATCTGTAATCAATGAAGTTTATCTCCTACTAGTGTAACTTACATGTTTTAAGCTTTTGTCGAGACACTAGGAGGTATTTAAGTATAAATAATAATGCATCATTTTATTAGGTCATGGGAAAATTTCTGATGCATTTTTGCATAGAAAAAATACATCATGGAGGCCAGCAGGTGGCTTAGTGATTAAGGGTGCTGGACTCCCACATGGGTGACTGTGGTTCAAGTCTTGGACCTGGTGGCTTGCTTTCTTACTTTATCTCCCTCCCTCCCTCCTTCCCTCCCTCCCTCCTTCCCTCCCTCCCTCCTTTCCTCCCTCCCTCTCTCTCTGGTCAAATTGAGATAAATAAATAAATGGATAAAGTTAAATAAAATAAATATGTTTAAAAAATAGAAAAAAATACATCATGACTTTTCCAAAAACCCAATAAGTTACTACTTTGATCATTATGTATTTCCTAATATAGGGGCCAGCAGGTGGCATGGTGGTTAAGATGCTGGTCTCTCAAATGACCAACTGCAGTTCAAGTCCCAGACCTGGAGGCTTGAAAATCATGCCAGGTGCATGCTCGTGCCCCAAATTCTGAGAGGAGAATGGAGGAAAATGGATTCTGGTGTGACATCCCTCTGGGGGGATGATTTCTCATTTTTCCTCTCTCCGTCTCCATCTCTTCCCAATGAGCACACACACCCTGTGGCAAAAAACCATCTCTTGCCAATGAGCACACACACCCTGTGGCAAAAAAAAAAAAAAAAAGAACTTTAAAAATAAAAAATATATTTTTTAATATAGAAAATGCTAAGAACGAGTTCAAATACTTTTAATCGTAACACAAGAAATGAAATATGTTGTCATACTTCTGATTTTGTCTTCTTGTCATACGTTGCACCTCTGCTCCTCCAGTTCAGAAATGTGTAACACGGGAGCGTGCCAACCTTCTCTCTACCAACTCTCACCGGAACTCCTCACCCCGGGTGCTAACGGTGAGGCACGTCTGCCCAACACTACCCACTCCCCTGGCATCTAGTGGTTGACACTCCAGTGTCCCCTCACTAGTCCAACAGTGACTCATTTAGGAAATAAGGTAAAACTTCCTCTGTCCTTTTTATATTCCCGAGTACGAGACAATTTCCTTGTGTGTTTTTAGTTTTGTTCACTATTTGCTAAGCACCTAATTTACATAAGACACTATGTTAAAAAAAAAAAAAACTATAAGGATATTGTCCTCTTTCTCCATTCCAAATTATGCTTTTTAAATTTTCTCATTTTTTCTTTTCCTTTTTTTTTTCTTGGTTTCAGAGGTGTTAGCATAGGGCACATGCACTCACCAGAGAGAAAGGGAGACAGAGACAGTGAGAGGGAAAGTGAGAAATCACTCCCCAGCTGGAATGGCCACACACCCCCTCTCCTCCATTCTCCGAGGATCTTAGGCACGCAGGTACATGCACCTGGCATGACTTTCAAGACACCATATCTAGGACTCGAACTGCAGTCAGCCATGTGGGAGTCTAGTCACGTAACTGCCACACCAACTGCTAGCCCCCATTTCTCATTTTTTTCTTACAATTTTTTTTTCTCCTCTCCAGCTCTGGCCTTGTTTGAGGTATCATTTTGAGCATTTTGACAAGAAATGCCTCACAGGTAAAGGAATAACTATTTCTGTCACTAGAAGGGTGTGAGAAGGGTGAGAGTCTTCTCCCCTGCCCTCTTCAGTAAAAACAATGTATACCATTTTTAATGTAGGTGTAAACTAATTGTATTTTATTATATATTGGCAGAGGGTGTGAGCACTTACCAGAGAGAGAGAGAGAGAGAGCTACCCCAGTGGGCACAAATACATCCTAATCCTCTTTTCCCCTTATTTCTATCCAATTAGGATTTGGGGCACATACACACATTCACCCATAGTGGTTTTTTTTTTTTTTTTGAGCCACTGGGGCCGGGATTCGAACTGTGGTCCACCATGTGGGATCTAGCTCCCTGTGCACATCACTTAACTGCTGTACTACAGGGCCAGCCCCTTATCATTCCTGTTGTATTATTCCTATTTCAAAGGAAATACCCATTATTTAGAGAACAATTTAGGAATTTAAGAAAAATTAAAGTCACTCAGGTATTATGCATTTGTCATGTTTATCTTTATGCCTATGTATATATTTTTCTTTCAAATTGAATCATACTGTCCACCATATTTTATAACTTTTGTTTTTAATATTACAGAATATTTTGAATATCTTTACATACTGAACCTCATAAACAATATTTTAGATAGTTGAGTAGTTTCATAATAGTTGTTTGATTAAACCAATTATGAAAAAATGAGTATTTCCATTTTTGAATGAATATCATTATAACTACACATATTCATATGACATTTTTTGTTTTTAATTTGACCAGAGAAAAACAGAAAGAGAAAGAGAAAGGGAAAGTGAGAAAGCAAGCCCAGGTCTAGGACCAGAACTGCAGTCATCCATGTGGGAATCCAGTGCCTCTAACCACTACGCCACCTGCTGACCCCCATATGACATTTTCTATTTATTTAATTTTATTTACACATTCATTTATTTAAATTTGACCAGAGAGAGGGAGAGGGAAGGTGAGAAAGCAAGCCACCAGGTCTGGGGCTCGAACCATGGTCAGCCATGTGGGAGTTTCCAGCACCTTAACCACCACACCACCTGCTGGCTCCCCCTGTGACATTTTCTAACTAGTATGATTGATGTGAATCTGAATCCACAGCTTCAGACTTACTGGAGATAAGACCTGTCATCTATAACGCAGTCTCTGCTCTGAGCCCTACTGAGGGCAGTTTACGGGTGGGCTCCACAGACATCATTCTCACATCGGCTCTCCTCTGCCTTCCCCAGATAGTACCCGAGTGCACGAGCCTTGCACCTCGACAAGGCATCAAGGGGTGTGTGCATGCGTGTGTGTGTGTGTGTGTGTGTGTGTGTGTGCATGTCCCCTACCCCTACTGCCAGAGAATATTTCTTTTCAGTCTTTTTGTTTGTAGAAAATTCTTCCCCTTTTTGTTTCTTTAAAACCCCCTCTCTAGGTCTGGGAGTTCCTTTCCTCCAGAGGTGTAGTTTGGGAAGCAGAGGCCGCAAGGTTTGTGGACTCCATTGCTTTGCCTTGCCGGGCGCTTCCCAGACAACAGCAGAACCAATGGAGAGAAAGCATAGGGAGGCAGGACAGGAGCATGTTGGAATACTGTCCCACCACAAGGGTAAACAGGAGCACTGAACCTCTCTCCTCTCTCTCTTTCTCTCTCTTTTCCTTTGGTTTTGCCGTGGGACACAAAGGCTCACGGGAGAGAGACAGGGGAAGTGGGGAATCACCCCCTCCACACATGGATTTTGGACATTCATGTGCACATGCCCAGCATGATTTTAAAGCCCCAGGGTTGGGACTCGAACCGTGATCAGCCATATGGGAGTCCACTACCTTAACTGCCATGCCACCTGCTGGCCCCCTGAACCTCTCTCTCATAGCAGATTAATTCCCCAGAGCTAATTAAGGATTAACACAGATTCACTCAACAACTAAATATTTCTACAAATGCAGACGTGGCCTGTCTTCTTTTTTCAAATTCAGTGTCTGCTTCCCAAAATATTAGGGGGAATGTTAAATCTGAAAAAGAGAGAAAAAAATAAGTAAAATGAGCAAACCCTGTATCTGAATTCCTACTAGAATTCTGGCAAATGAAACCGTGCAAAGATGAATGAAAGAGATGGGATGGAGACCCAATGTGAGCCATGAAGCTAATCAGGAATGACTCCGAGTCCTTTTATCCGTAGTATTTTGTGGTTCTTATCTTTTCCCCATAATCGTCGCACGTTTTTACTAGGTTGTGTCCCTTTGAACATTCCTGCTTATCTTAGGATGAGGTGGTTCGGCGGCCATGGCCGAGTAGCTCTGCCTTGGCAATCCCACCATGGCGGGCGGTAGCGTATGAGGGAGGGGCCACCCAGGGCAGCCCGGGCTTCCAGCCTTTCTTCTCTCCTTTGCTGACTCCTCTGCTGGAAGCATGTTCAGGGGGAGCGTCTGGGTACTGTATTGGGTCATCTGGAAAGTCACGCCTCATTTTAGCACAGAAAAAGGAAGAATATGCCATGACTTTCCTGGCGACCTAATAAGATCTGTTCATAGAATCCCTTGTGAAGATTATGGGGCCAGCAGTTGGCGTAATGGCTATGTCGCTGGACTCCCATGTAGTCGACCATGGTTTGAGTCCCAGACCCGGTGGCTTAAACTCATGCTGGGTGCGTGTGCGTGCGTGCCCAAGATCCTGAGAGGAGAATGGAGAAGGGATTGTGGCGTGACCATCCTCCCTGGGGGGATGATTTCTCGCTTTCTGTGTCTCTGTTTGTCTCTCTGGCAAGCACACACCCACAAGAGCAAAAACCTGTCAAAAAAAAAAAATTGGTTGTGAGGATTAAATGAAAAATATATCTCAAGAAACTAAGTTAACACCGTATTTGATACAATAAGTGATAGTGATTAAAGTAAGTGAAAAGCACTTTGCACACCTGTAATGCCCTTTACAAATAATACTTTTT